ATACGGCTTAAGAACCAAAGCATTCCTTTCCAGTTCTGTATTAAATTTTAAATATTACATATTTCGTTTGATGCCACATGTTTTTAGCCCCACAGTTTCTTTCCTTTATCATCTTCTCCTTCTTCAGCTCTCCTCCATAACTATTTTGTAGCCCGACTCCAGGTTAATAGGATTTATAATCATGTTCGTAATCAAGCGTTTTCAGGCTGTATTATAACTTCACTATGTAGTGGTTCGGCCAAACTTACACTAATAGCATTCCCTATCAATTTATTTCACATATTTGTCGCCTATATTAGACATCTACCTCTTTATACAAGAAGTTTCTTTGCGTTATTTTTGAAAAACCCTTTTCACTTGTTTATTTTCCACTTATCTTTGTTTTGCTACTGCCTCAAAAAAATCACAACTTATTTTTTATTCGCCGCATGATGAGCAATGAATGACGAAATTTGTCTAGTAGTGCGGCTTACCTGGATTCATTAAAATAGCGTATCGTAGAGCGGCAATCTCCATTCTGTCTACCGCTAAATCTTTCATTCTCATCGTCAACTCGTTGATAATCCGATCAAAAATCACTCGGCAACCGAGCATTTCGGCTTCGTCCCTTTCCATGATACGCTCCGGCCACAGTAACAACTTATCGGTGGATGAACGATAAGCAATATCAGCAAGAATTAGCTCGTACCAACCTGTTAAATTAGTAACTTTATTTTTGTCTTCTCACACACAAGGCATGAAGGAAATTGGGACAAAAATTAGTACTCTTAAGTCTTATTTTTGCTAAGCAAGCCATTTTTCGAGAAACAGAGTCCCTCACAAAAGTCGCAGTTTCTTCAAATCTTGAAGCCGCGGTATCCGGACATAGCCTAAGTGGCACCACATGCCAAAAGCAGTTATCTGTTAACAAACTCACGGTTGGTTAGAAACAAGCTAATGGCATATTTTATTTCACAGCAAATGCTGCCGCCAGTTTAACATCGAAATGAATGAATGAATAGTAGCCGGACTAGTTATCTTACTAGTTCACCACTGGTTCATATTCGAAATTTTTTTTAATGGTTCAACCGACAATCACGTCAACGACTTCGGCCTTGGGCTTTTCGCATCCGCAATCCAGCATATCTTCAGTTTTGTGGACCTGCCCGTTGTGCATATGAAGTACACGTACAAAAGCGCAGAATACACAAAAACTCGAATGCACGCACGTGCTTAACTGTGCATACTTATACAATAACATCCATAAACTAGCACGCAAAACTGAAAGCAAAAGGACAATATCACGAACCAGAACGAATTAATCGAGCTTGATCTTCGATAAGAATATCCTTGAAAGACGGCAGCAGCAAGGCCCAGTCGATAATTCGTATCATATGCCATCCCAGCGATTCGCAGCTACTTGCATCATTTGATTCAACCTGAAAAGTTAGGTGCATCTCTAAAAGGGGAATGATGCTTATCTTTGCGTGGTTTGCGGTTGTTTGCAGTATTGCTAGGAAAAGGTAGTATTCATTTTCATGCCGTTGGTGCGATTCAGCATAATTTCCAGGAAATTTTCTTTGGCTGTACCATTTTTGTTTTTTTTTCTTTTTTTTTTTTGAGAGGAGGAGGAGATTTCTGAGAAACAACTGGCTTGCATCAAAGTATCACTCCGAGAATACTGGTAGATTTTGATTTGCAAAGGTTGAGTTCTGGAAATCTTTGGAATTACCTTAATGTTGCTGAAAAGTGTTTCAGAAGCTTCTTCCGCCCCAGCTATCCTTTCGAGCTGTGCTTCAGGATCGCTACAGTTGCTTGTACTTTCTGCTTCCATTTGATTCGTGCTCATATACTGTCCGGTGCTATCCAGTACCTTTCGAACATCCACTCTCGTATTTTGCCTTTCTTCTTGTACTGCTTAAAAAATAACAATTTATTTTCAAAATGCTGATCTTTGTTCCCCGCTAACACTTTGTCCAAAACCAGAATATTTTCTGGAAACCGCATAACTCAGCGCAAAAATAAGTGCCTTTTGGAAATTCATTCGCCTATGCAGTTTTCCTAAAAGAAACAAAAATTCTGAAAGCTGAATTCCCGCAAGTAACGTCGCCGAGGGAGAGAGAAAGGTGGATGAAAAATTCCAGCAGTAGCAGTAATGTCAATAAAATGGGATTTTCCTACTAACTGTCTAAGAGAAGGCTTAAAAGTTATATTGCCAGATCCGTTAATACCTCACGAAAAATTGAAGTGCGCACTCAAAGTTGTCTGGTGCTAATGAGATGAGAACATACGGCGGACGCAAAATCCCCACAGTTAGGCTTGGTACCAGCCAGTTTTATTATTGATTTACTGATGAGTGACCGGAAGACTGTGCAGGATATTTTCCGAAAACTATTTCAAATCCCGCTTTTGTCACTCATACTGCTTATTTCGATAAAATCTCAGTTTCTACAGTGCGGCAAAATCAACTCAAAAAATTTTGATTGAAGTGCCCTAAAGGAAAGGTGAAAAATGACCTTCACGTTTCATTCCCATACTTTGGCATTTCCGATACCGACAGTATTGACAACGATTGCGCTGCCTCTTATCAATGATACAGTTGCGATTCTCACGACACAAGTAGACAAGATCCTTGCGCACTGTCCTCTTGAAAAATCCTTTACAACCTTCACAGCTGCAAATATGAAAAGGTTACGGTTTTTTGCGCAAGTATAGGGTTGATAAAGGCATTCAAATGGATCCATGGATAGCGCTTATGCTAGCGTTTTTAATGGCAACAGCGAGCTAATACTGATATTATGGTACTTTCGAACGCCTCCACCTTTAACGCAGATTGCCGAAGGGGTTCTGGTTTTTTAAATCTAGCTTTTGATCCTTATTGATAAAATTGTTTTGATTTGCCCGATAAGCACAACGTTTTCTACGAAAATGAGCATTTTGAGTACCTTACTGCCAGTGCAAAAATCTTTCTGCTCACTACAGTTTCCGGCAAATTGTCTTCAATTACTTATGTATAACGTTGTTACGTCCTGATGCAACTGCATCAACTAGCATGCTCTGCTATATTGGCCTTCGATTTTGCTGCTTTTCTTAAGTTCTCTTTTGAAAACTGCCACAGTCTTCTTTCCCCCTCTTCTAAACTTCTTGCAAAAAAGTTGGTACTCTCCAGACGCCTGTACCTGAAGCTGCCATTTTCGAAGAAATGCAGAAATTTCAACTAAAAAAAAAAGGAAATTTTAGTGAAAGGTAAATATGAAAGGCACATTTTCATTATTAAAATTGACAGCTGCTAATCTGCCTACTGAGAGCTAAACATAAAACGAAAAAAGACACAATATCGAAAGAAATACTGTAGGCGAAAACGCTCGTATACGGCAGGATATTACCGTATGTCACAGATACCGCTCAAACGGGCGCAGAGGAAAACCTCAAATTCATATCCCCTTCTTCGAAAATAACTGTTTAAAAGGATCTATATTCGGCCAATTGGTAGGCTGATTCGAATTAAATTCAAATTTTTGGGTATAATAAACTTTGGCCAAAAAGCGAACAGTGTACCTGTACACTCCGTAATGTTTGCCGGAAGCACGATCACCGCATATTGCGCAAATGTGCTTTGTAGATAACAACAAACTGCTAGGTGATGCTGAACGTTGAACTGTATATGTTGGTACCATTGTTGGAGTAGTGCTGCAAAAAGATTTGGAAAATCACCGTTTTTATTTAAACCAGTGGAATAGTAAATTCGGTGAAACAGGATCATCGCGTTTCAGGAAAAGTAACAGTAAGAAACAAATATGAATTTTGGGCCCATCGACGGCTTGAAGAAATTTTGATGATCTTAGTGAATTTTTACCACTCAAACTTTGAATATGAGTCAGGAAAAAAATTATTTTCGCTACATCCACAACAAATTTCTCTAGACTCATACAAACCCTTGCTAAGTATTTGATTTTAACTCGCAGTATAACTAACACCATAAAAAAACCAAACAGAAAAGTGGAGAAAAAAATATAGGCAATTATAAAAAAGAAAAAATGTGTGTGGAAAGCCTGTGAAAAAATATCCTGATTTTAAAAAAATACGAATGCGCCAGAATTTTTTAGAAGTATATTTTCGAAATATCAGTGTTTTCACAGTTCCTTTTCTTGTTAGGTCTTTTGTGGATCTCTTCCACTGTGTCATCATCCATCCTGATCTAAGACATCAAGCTTATCGTTGAGTGTTTTACGATCCTTCGCCTTCTCCACGAAACTAATAAGGACTATTCATAAAATAGAACAAAAATGCTGAAATTTTGATTTTTCAATAATGTTTCGCTGTACGTTTTCTGAAAATGTCAAAGGCATTTTTGTTCATTTCATGTTTGCGCTCAGACATACCTAGTCACTTCATCATTTGAAATTGTAAATTCTTGCAAGCGAGCATTTTGGGCGCGAAGAAGTTGCTCATGCGATGTGAGCATCTGTTCTGTAGAAGTGGCCGTCGAAATTTGCTCGGCTGAAAAATTGTCAGTATCCTTGGATTTGTTTAAAATTTACAAATTGTTGTCAAAAATTAATTCCCGACAATATGCGTTTTGTGCAACTGCTGCAGTAATTGAAACCTACAAAAAAGAAAAGTTGCCAGCCTTTCAATGGGCTTGCCGACTTTTGATTGTTTTACTGGGACCAAATCTGGGGAAAGGGACAAAGAAAAGAAAGGGAGTGCGAGAAAAGTGCTGGAAACGCAGAAGCGCATAAGACATGATAAAATTTTACATATCATTGGTGACGCGCACTGGCAGGCCCTTGCGATCATGCGTTTTTGCAGT